ACTTGTGTAAACCTTGAGCCAATGTGGGATGAACAGTCAATGCTCCAGGCATTATCCTGAGATAACTATCTCTCGAGATAAGGGGCCACCCATTGTTCACTTGTGTGAGCCTTGCCAAAGTGAGAAGAGCCAAAGCTCCATGCATTATCTTGAGATAAGGCATTATCTCATGAAATAAGAGACTATAACTTCCCAGAACATAAAAGCTTACACATCAGAGATGAAGCAAGTGCCTCAAAACCTTAGATATTATCCCAATTGTGTTATAGATTACTCTTTCTACACAACTTTCTCTGCATATTGCAGATTTCGGGCCGCCTATCTAGCTCAGCTCACAGCACTCACCTCTAATTTCTGCCATTCTCACAGTCACTCATCCTCAAGCCACGCCTTTTTTCACAAATTAATAAAACCTGGATTTGGCCCCGGGTTGAAGCCTTCACTCTGGATAGCCATCATTGAGGCTGGACGTAGGAACCAATGGCTCCCCATAACTACAAATATGCCTCAGTGTCTTTATTTTCACCATGCGTTGCACTGGAAATGGTAGATTGGAATTAATTCTCTAGAATTCCAGTAACTTTCCCATAGGACTACAAATATAAACTTCCTGGGCCATGACTAAGACTGGGAAGGGCTCTCTACATTTATTACTTATGTTTATAACATAAATTTGCATTATAAAGTCTTTATAATACAGTCAAGCCAATGAGAATAAGGCTGAGCTGATGAATAAAAATATCTTAAGTGGAGTTATAATTATATCTCATTTAGTTTCAGCATCCAAATAATGTCTATATTTTATTTTAGTTATTCAGTAAGAACTGTGCTTTTTAGATGCAGGAATTGTGGATGGGGTTTCAAAAGCTTGTTTTGCAATATCAAGACTGATCAAATTACATTAAACTTGAAAAAGTAGTAAGATAGTTTTCTTTAAAAAATAAAGAATAAACAAAGCTAGTAATAAGCTATATTATTTCTCATAGGTATAAGGTAGGTAACTTTGGACTGCACTGTCACATCACAACACACAGCAGAGCATCTCTTTTTGTAGTTTTGAGCTTGAATGGCAATTAACTAGTGCTTTTCTTAGGTACAAGTACCACAGCTTTTTATAAAATACTTGGCAATCAGACAACACAGATAAAATTTTAATGGCTTGTGGTAGAGATACAATATTTGCAACTAATATCAAAATAATATCTATGTATAAAAAAAGCCAACAGAAGCTCTATTGAAGTTTTTCTTTGAACACACTAGCTATCTACATATATTAAATGTTTAGTACATAAATAGCAAGTAAGCCTGGAAGTTGTTTTTAATTACAGGCTTTTTCTTAGTTTAAAACATATACTAAATTAAGTCTGAATCTGCTTTATTAAGAGCAGACTAGCTCGCTTTCAAATAATCATCTATTGAGAACAATCAGAAAAGCCAAAGAAAGTTTTTAATATGTTCAGCTGTAAAGTCAGCAATCAAGGAGAATTGCATTGCATGTTCAAGCCAGCCTTGAGACCCTATCTCAAAATAAAAATTTAGAAAGGGCTAAGGATTTAGCTAAGTACAAAAAAAAAGTAGAGAAAAATTAATGAAACAAAAAGTTGGTTCTCTTTATCAATTACACTAACTACCACCAGATAAAGATACAAGAGAGATTACTAATATAAAAAATGAAGTAGGGGTTAAAAACCCTACAGAATACTATTACTTTGATAACCAAATCAGAAAGTGTACAAAAGGAAAACCTATATTCCACACCTCTCATTGCTGTGCCTCAACAAAATATCAGTAAACAGAACTTAGAAATGTATAAGTAGAATTATATGCAACAATTAGGTGAAACGTATTCCAGATATTTTCAGCAACAGAAATCAATCAATATAATTCACCATAATTCAAAAACTAAAGAGGCCCGTGTCGGTTGGCTATGGTAGCACATGCCTGTAATCCCAGCATTTATTTTTATTTATTTAAAATGGCAGAAGGATTTTTTTTTTCTTTGGCTGGCTCTGAACGCCTTCAGGGTAGGTTTGGCTGGCTTGAATTGTAGAGATCGAACCACAGCAACCTGAGCCTAACTGCTTTGTTGAAGCAGCCACTTAAAGAACTGAGCTAAAGGGCAGGCCCCCAATCCCAGCATTTAGAGGTTGAGGCAGGAAGGCTGCCATGAGTGTGAGGCCAGGCTGGGCTACACAGTGAGACCTTGTCTCAAAAAAACAAACGAAGCCCTGTCAATTGAGTAAACACACACTTAATGATAGAAATAGAAATTTAATTCACAGAAATAAAATCTTTGTTCATTCAAACTTTCACATGAAGGTTCATGGCAGCTCTACTCAACAGAGCCCCAAATCAAACACAACTCAAACTGTCCTTCAATGAGTGGTTCAATAAGCATAGGGTCACCCATTCCACAGAATACTACTCACCAATGAAAAAAGGAAGAGATGACTGACACATACAACTGAGATGAATCTCAAAGGAATTAAGCTGACTGAAAAAAGGTAACATCAAAAAGTTATGATTCCAGTTACACAACTTTTTTTTTTTTTTCTTGAAGAACTAGGGACGGAACCTAGGACCTTTACATTGAGTCATAGCCTGAGCCCATTTTTTATTTAGAGACAGGGTTGTCCCCCAAGCACTTATTCCACTGAGCCATTTCCCTGGCCCTAAAACTTTTATTTCTGAAATTATTGTAGGTTTATAGAAAATTTGAAAGAAAAGCTGTACTCAGAGCTCCTTTCAGCCAACTTTCCCCAAAAGTAACATCTCAAGTAATAGTAGTACAGTATTAAAACATTGGTCTAATCAAGAAAGACATTGAGATTTCAACTTTATAAGCAGGGTTCTGTATGTGTACACAGCTGTGTGTGCCCTTCTCATTTATGTAACTTCTTGTGCTCTCTGGCACTGAGTTTTTAGCATCACAGCCATCTTGTGCCACCCCAGAGTCTGACTCTTGGGAAATATCAGTCTGTCTCTATCTTCATGCCATTTCAAGAAATTTGTATATGAGCCTGGAAAGGGCAAGGGCCTGAGTTCAATCCCCAGTTCCACCAAAAAAAAAAAAAAAAAAAAAAAGAAATAAAATTTTTAAAAAGAACAAAAAGCTCTAATTATACATGTATATAATTGCAATTTGTGAAAGTGGTAGGAAAGTGGAAAAATCTGTAATCATACTAAACAGCTCTATGTGAATTTCAAAACAGGTAATTGCAACTGAATATGTACAGTAGATATCTATAGAGTATTTCACACATTCTCTTGTAATCTGTATCCATCCCTTTCTCCAGTAAACTATGCCGTGGAAACAACTGTTTTGTGTATCTTGATGTCACCACTGGTAACAAAACCTTTTGGACAGTTCTTGAAAGTACATTCTCACCCTTTCTCATCTGACCTTAACAAGTAGGCAGCACAATGCACAGAATAAGAAATTCAAGATCAAAGTTTTTAAATACTTTTTGTTCAAAGTCATAGACCTTAAATGGAAAAAAGAGTCAACTCTATAGCCTTCAAACTCTCATTAGTTTCCAGTCACCTATTACCATACTTAAAAATTTAAGAACTAGTCCCCCAAACTGCATGTGTCCAAGTACATTTAAGTACGATATATATTACACTTAGATTATGTACAATCTTCTAAGCTCCTACTATGTAAATGGACACAAGATCAACAATTTCCCAACTTTCAGAAATTTTTACAAGTTCTATATTTCCTCTGATGTTGCTATATGAATGTATACTAACCCACGAGATTCTTCTCAGCCCATGGAACTGAGTGAAAAAAAAAAAACAAAACCACGCTTATGTACATAATGAGTATAAAGTCTATCCCTACTGCTGAGGAAATACAAAAAAACACAGCATCCATTACATTCAAGATGAACTTGCTTAATTAGTTTACCTGAAAAATATCACTTTTGCTAGCTCTAAGAACCAATTATGTCATCAAATTATTGTAATCACAAACAAACAAATGTCTTTAATGTGCCAGAAAGCAGCTTTCAGTCTCCAGAGATCAAAGCCAAGAATTTCACAAGTTGTACAAAGTTGTCTATTGCACATTAAATACACTCATTAAAGTAATACACTGATTTCCTTTTGCCTGATGAACACTTAAGAGAAAATTGAAAGTAATTAGCCCTAAATATATTGTAGCAACACCAACATGAAAAAATGCTGAAAGATCAATCTTTTATGCACAAAATAAGGAAGTCAGTCTGTACGCAAAAAATACAAACTGTTAAAATGTGAAAGTTTAGAAAAACTTAGGCTCCAGGGAGGAGTGGAATGATGGGAAAACAGCTAACAATAGAGACTTTGGACACTCCTAATTGTGTGTTTTCCTGTTATACAAATCTTTGTGAATAAAGACTGAAGATTCTTCTAAATTCTAGGTCTCTTTCGATACGTCTCTGTCCCCCAAGAAATGTGCTAAATGGGTCCTGGGAGTGGTGGAGCACATCTGTAATCCCAACACTCGGAGGGCTGACGCAGGAGCATCACCACCAGTTCGAGGTCGACCTGGGTATATAGTAAGTTTAGGGCCGGCATAGAGAAACCTTGTGTAAGAAAGCAGAACAAAACAACACAACCAAAACAACAATAAATACAAAACGAAAAAGGTGAGAACTGTGATTCGCAAGGTGGCCTATAAGCTGTCCCAAAGTTAAGCAGATCTCCGGTAGCTACGTTGTTTGCTGGGAAGAAACCAATTCATCCCTGAGCGACGCGTCGCGATCGCACCGGTCTCCACAGGGGAAAGCTCCCCGGGGCTCCGGCCGGGTACCGGCCCCACCTGGACGCCTCAGGCCGCCGCAGCCCGCTCGAGGGTTCCCCGGCCCAGCGGTGCGGAGCCTCGACCTGCGGCATTACTGTTATCTCTACGCTACGGGCCGTGTGGAAGGAGCCGTGGAGACTCAGGGGCTTCTGCGTGCCTGCCCCCCACCCTAACTCTTCCACAAAGTCACCCCGCGAGCGCGAGCAACACTCACCTGGACGCCTGAAGGGTGGTCCGCCCCGGCCAGGTCCGGAGCAGCCGGTGGCGGAGCCGGAAGTCCCGCCTTCGCGTGATGACACTGCGCCGCGCCCCTGGCGAAATCCCGGAAGAAGGCGCTTTGGTGACGGGGCGCGCGGCCGCGGGTGGGCGAAGGTGGGGTATTACTGATGTCGCCTTGAGGCTGGCGATCCGAAGTACCCAGAGAAAGCCTGGAGGGGACGGGGATGTTTCCTTCTATTGAATTTTACCCGCGTCTGCGTCTCTTCCCTTCACGTATATAGAAAAGTTGACTCTCAATTGACCTTGCTTACTGCGTGAGGATAATGTAAGACGTCTGTTCCAGGGATAACTTTGGGCTCACCACGCCCAAACTCCGTGAAGACAAAGCTTACTTCAGCGTTCTTCCCTTAACCTCGGAAACAGTGATCAGCGTACATCTGCCCAAACATACACTGAAGTGACTGCGATGGCTTTACGGCCAGGGAGAGAGCGGACACGTAGGCCAGGCATCAGTGATTCCCCCTACGCGCGGAAAAGAAGACTGGCTTCTTCTGTATTCAGTATCTACAGACAGGCACAATTGTTCATCCAGTGGGTGAAAGTGAACTCGTATCTCTTCATTGCTTTTCCTTTGGTCATGATGTTCTACTTCTTAAATGCAATGGCTCACACCCAGGATTTAATGAGCTTTGAAAAAGCCACCTACTGATTTAACTTATGAAAATTTATTAATCCTCACAGCAGTTCAGTATTAACAAGTGGCTGTAGAGGCTGGAGACATAAACAAGTATGTAAAAAAAAAAAAAAAAAAAAAAA